ACACTGTTCCCGTAACAGTGTGCACCCCTGTACGAAAATGTTAATATCTCTCTACTCCGAAGTCGTATTAATGAACGGTGTGTTGCGTTGGAAACTAGACTCATAGACCTTCGATTTGGTAGGTAGAACACACCATAACTCCTAGTATATTGAGAGAAACGCTCATCAACATTTTATCCAAATTCCAGTAAAATTTAAACTCGTAACTTGCGCGCGATCTTTGTCGAATTTTTAATCACAACTCAAATGACTTCCAATCTTAATGTATAACTATCACATCAATTAAATATTTCATAGAAATTATCTTCCTATCGAATTAGCCCATTTACAGCATGATAACGCCGAATACACAAGGTGTAACAACAATGTAGGAACCGGATTTGCAGGCGAGCAGGCTACGAGTTAGGACTTCCTTCTCTTCCAGTGCTATTGATGAGCTTCGCTTTTGTTCGTGGAGTATTCCTTAGAGTTATCCTTATTTAGTTATTTCTTTGTTACTTAGAAAACTGGCCAGGAAATCTCATGTCCTGAGCAGTGCGTCAGTTTATCAGTAGAGGCTTCATAGACATAGTCGTTGGGTTAAGATTCAGATATTTTTGATAATAACTTAGCAGTATTTCATTGGTTACTATGAATAAAGTTTTGGAGTTGATTTATTTAAATGTTTAAATTAATCAATAGTCTTGTTGCATATAAAGTTTGGAGTTATAATAGATTTGATAAGCAGAGATGGTTCGCTCGGTCATGATTAGTGATCGAGTGCCGATCCCGGTTTGTTCAGGAAATGGGTCGTGACAGAAAGGATGTCGAATTACTGTCATGTACATCAATTCTCAAGTTGTTGTAAGAAAGATCAAGCACGGTTAATCTAGGAAGCCCTTGATCACTTCCATACTAATGCTCCCGCCAAACGAGTTGGACAAGAGTATTAGTTCTGAAAGCGTTTTGAGTTTGAAGATAGACCGAGGGATCGATCCATTTAGATGGTTATTGCTCAAATCAAGTGTTTCCAGAACAGAAGAGGATGCATTAGCAAATTCATGGACTTCTCCACTGAAGCGATTATTCTGAATTTGAAGTACCTGCAATGAAGGGAGGGAAAGGAGAAACGATGGAACTGTCCTACTGATGGAATTCTTTTCTAACTTTAGATAACCAAACTAGGTTTGTGAGATTTTCCACTGTTAATGGAATATGTCCACTAAAATTGCATGAACGTACGTCAATCTTGGTTAAGGTTGTGAGGTTAAAAATTGAATCTGGAAGTGTACCGGTGAAACTCGTGTAGCTAAGGTCTACATCCCTTAATGAACCATCCCTCGGAAATTCAGGTAAAATTCCAGTGAGGTTTTCATTATCATATAAATCAAGCTCATGTAAAGTTGGTATTTGAAAGATTTTACTTGGAAATACACCTCGCAAGTTGCACTTACTGAGACTGAGGGTTGTCAATTTTGTAAAATTTGCTAGAAATTCTGGAACTACAGTGGATAACATGTTATAATCGAGACGAATGATTGAAAGGAAATGAAGATTTAGAAGGGCGGAATCAAGAGGGCCTGAAATGTCACAACCTATCATGCTTAACACTGTTAACTGAGGGAGAGATGAAGATAAAGCCGAGCACCAATCACTCCCATTCAATGAAATGTTCACGCCGTCAAGATAAAGTTCTCTAAGGTTTGATAGGTTTCCTAACAATGTTTTTAGATCTGGGCTCTCAAGCTTTAACTTGATGCTTAGAAAGGTCAAGGGACACTAACTTTGTCAATCTTGACAATTCCATTGGAATCTGCCCCTCAAAACCAGCATATGACAAATTCAGGTACTTCAAGTTTGTGAGCTGATAAATTTCTTTTGGTATTTGAGTAGAGTACAAGTAATTATAAGCCAAATTCAGCTTTTCAAGATACTTGAGATCAAATAGACTGGTTGAGTTCTCAACTCCACCAGAAATTGTTTCGTCGTCCAGTTCCAGAACAAGCACATGACCTTCCTGATCACAACTTACACCTGGCCACTGGCAACAATCAGTGTTTTCATCCCACCTGACTAGTTTGGTTGACAAAGAAGAATCGAACGTAAGGCTATTCTTGAGTTTAAGCAACAAGGCTTTTTGATCCCCCAAACATTGGCCATATACTACTGAAATATTAATACTGATCAGAAATACCACTAGTGTGGTGAAAAAAACTTGTAGCAAGAGTGCTATTTTCATAGTGAGGCAATAATATGAAGTGTAGTAATGAAATTTAATGATAACCTTTATATAAATGGAATCAGGAGGTGACATATAATCTTGGCCGGCATTCGCAAAGAAATATGAAGCAAAAGACAAGAAATAAGCAACCAAATGAAAGGAGTTGCTGATTTTTCAAAAAGTCAAGACAGTATCACCAATTTTTCCTACTTCAGACATTATAAAGTCTGAACAAAGTTGATGTTTCTGTTTTTTTCTCTTCTTTAGTCCTTAGTCTCTAACAAGACAAATTCCAACTCTCTGTAGTTTTCTGTTGACTTGATTTGTGCATGTGCAAGTCAACCTAAAGGAGTGTCATGCATGAAACTTAATTATTCTTAATTAGGTAGTGGTAATGGTTTTCTTGAATCGAAATGACAGTAATAATACATATTACATGCAAATCACATAAATACCATGTATTGCTCCCAAACTATTTTAATTCTATCACTTGTATTACCCTCCTTTCACCCCTGAGTAAATACTACTCCCTCCGATTCAGAATATTAGTCCTCTTAAAAAATTGAATTAGTTATAGAAGGACAGCAAAATGTTGATTCTGTCACAAAGTAGGAGTAACGCAGAACAACAATGACGGGAAATGGACCAATACCACCTGATTTCCAGACATTTTAGAAGTTGCCACCCAAAGCCAATCATGCAGCTACTCGTTTGATGGATTTTAGCCTGTTTGGATTTTCTGATAGTCGAAGTCATAACATTATATTTCATTGCTACTTCACCTAGAGCAGGGTAGAGCAAATAGAATGGAACACTCATATTTTGAGTTAGAATGCTCAGATAGTCAGATTAGCTGCCATATTTCCAGGGAAATTAAATCTGAATATTGCTAACCCTGGAAACACCCAACACTCCACTTTCAACTAGGATACACCTATGGACCAAATATCGTGAAAGGATTAAACTTATACGCACTGACAGTGTAAAATTTACTATCAGTGTATTTTAACAGGCTATAGTATGTCGCCTGCCTTAGTTTGGCTGTCAGTAAGACAATTCAGCTATGAACTGGAAACCTATCTTATGCACTGATCGGTGCAAGGGGTGAGAAACAATTTAAATATGAGGATGAGTGCAAAATGATTGGATTAATTCCATTACCTGAATATAAGCAGGTTCACATCTCCGAAAAAATTGTGATCGATTTGGAGAAAAACACACACAAAAGATTGAATTATCAAAACCACTATTAGAATTGCTTTTAGAATCATACATTTGCCAGAGATGAGGTGAAGGATACAAAAATAAGTCATTTGAGCATATTTAGTCTTAACTTAGTTTTAACCAACACTTCTATAAAGTTTAAACCTGTATGTTTACTCAGTCATCAGTACGCAGTCAAAAGGGTAATACTTAATCTGTAGGTGGTTGAATGAATTTGACTAAAAGTTAAATCTCTATTGCACCTAAAAACTGTGTATTCTGTCCCATTTTTTTTAATTTAATAGTGCTTGGTTCCTAGAATTTCAACTCATTATGCACTATTCACAATAACCTGCAGATTGGCATGGCTTAATTAGTTAAACTGAACTGATTTTTGGAACAACGATCTTCAACTTTTCATAAACAATAAAAAAAATTGAGGTTATATAAATTAACAAAACTAAAATTTTTATCTTGCTTGCTACTTCATTTCTTCAGTAACAAAACTTTCAGCAGGTGTTATTTCTTAACCTTTCTTTCTAAACAGCTAGCTAACAAAATCAGAATAAAGTAAAAGAACTTGTTTATTTAGTAGGAATCCTAAAAACTGAAAAATGATAATCACATACATTGTCATCCCAATATTCTGAAAATTATTCTTTAGATTCAAACTTCAAATACACTTTCCTAAAAACATTCAACAGGCAATAATTTCACACAGAATAAATCTTAAGGAACACATCCGGCCCAGCCCTTTACAGAAGACAAAGAAAAAAACAAAGTTAATAGTGTATTATGAACTCCTCCAAACCTTAACAACATGCAGGTTTGTCGAAGAACAAAGAATGTAAAACATTGAACTTAAATGCTAATAATCATACTTCAGCAACTTTACTAGCCTTTTGTTCTACAGCAAACCTTAACTTACCTTGACCTCCTTCGGCTTTTATTCATAGATCTACTCTTTTTGTGCTGACCCAAAATTCTGAAAAGAAGTCTATCAACGAGCTCATTGTATCTTCGGCTATACAAAAGCAGCCAGATTATAATGCCAAAACTCACAGAAGATCCCAAGGAAAAACTTATATATTTCTCGTCAACTATTTCATGATCAGAGTGGCTGTTCGGTTGTGGCAATTCATTCAGCGCTTTGGTTTCACTGCATGTTTTCTTTAAAGGAAAATCGCACAACCCCGCGTTCCCTTCAAAGGAATCTGCTGAAAACGTCTGAAATTGGTTGCCTCTTGGAATCCTACCAGAAAGTTGATTAAAAGATAGGTTCAAGAAAGAAAGGAATGTGAGACCTACAAGCTCATCTGGAATTCTTCCATTTAACTGGTTAACTGAGAAATCTAAGGATTCAAACTGCGTCAACTTTCCAATGGACTTTGGTATTCTTCCTGTCAAAGCATTGTGTGAGAAGTTAAGATGGTGAAGTGATTTGAGATTTCCCAATATCTAAGGTATCTCCCCTTGAAAGTTGTTGCAAGAGAAATCAATGGATGTAAAAACTACAAGAATTTTCACAGTTTCCATTGAAAGACCTTTGAAAGTTAATGTCACCCTGACTTGATAATATATGTTGCTATATTTAACATCTAAGTACTGGCGCTCTGGATTCATGCTACTTCGCGTCATGCCTTCTAAGTTCACTGAAATTATTGGAAGCAAGATCCACAATTTGAAGCGTTGACCACGTTTGATTAGCAATAGGACACTGGAGATTCCCATGGAACTTGTTCCACCTCAAGACTAGGACATGTAAATTGGAAAATTTCTTCAACATGCATTGAAATTTACTTCTAATCATGTTATTTCCAATATTCAAAACCTCCAAAAATTTCTTTGTAATGATATTGGAAACTTTCCTTCTAAGATATTGTTGCTGAGGTCTAAAGTTCTCAAGTTGCAATTCAGCGGAATGTATCAGGAATAATGCCACTTAGTTTGTTTCTCCCTATATTCAACACTACGAGACGATCAGCTAGCTTTTGGAATAGACATGGAGGTATTTTGCTGTTTATGGAGTTGTTTGACATATCAAGAAATTGAAGCTCATCTAGATTGCATATCGAAGAGGGTATTGATCCTGTAAGTTTATTATTGGCAAGTGAAAGGTAAGTAATACTACTTGTCCAGTTTGCAAAGTGATCCGAGTCAGCACGTAGAAAGGGTGGATTGCCCTTGATCCTGTTTGAACTCAAGTCAATGACCCTAGGAGTGGTAGATATATTGTAAGGTTTTTCTAGAGACTCTAGAAGATTGTGAGAAAGATTCAGATATCCAACTGTCCAAACCCAACTAGGTATTTTCCCTTTAATGTTGTTGTCTGAAAGGTCTAATCCGGATAACAATGATTGGTTTTTAAGATCTGGAAACTTTTGCAACTGGCATGAAGCCAACCTCAGGTTGCTGATTTCAACTGGAAAGGGAAATGAGGTTGAATTACTTTCATGTATATCAATTCTCAAGTTGTTGTAAGAAAGTTCAAGGGCGGTTAGCTTAGGAAGTCCCTTTATCGCTTCGATATTAATGGTCCCACTAAAGGAGTTGGAAGAAAGTGAGAGTTCTGAAAGCCTTTTGAGTTTAAAGATAGACCGAGGGATCGATCCATTTAGATGATTATTACTCAAATCAAGTGTTTCCAGAACAGAAGAGGATGCATTTGAAAATTCATGGACTTTTCCGCGTAAATGACTGTTTTGAATACTAAGGAACTGCAATGAAGGAAGAGAAAGGAGAACTGATAATTGAGTTTGAGTAGAGGAAAGTGGACCATTGTTATTAGAAAGGTCAATGTGATTGAGCTTCTTTGCCTTGTGAAAGAGTGGGATTGATCCAGTAAAGTTATTGAATGACAAGTCTAAATGAATCAGGTCTGTGAGATTTCCCAAATTTGATGGAATATGTCCACTAAAATTGCAACTTCTTAAGTTGAGCCGGGCCATATTTTCAAGGTTAGCAATTGAATTTGGAAGTGAACCAGTGAAACCTGTGTGGCGAAGCACTAACTCCCTTAATGCACTTTTCTGTGGAAATTCAGGTAAATTTCCAATAAGGTTTTCATTGTATGATAAATCAAGAACCTGTAGAGCTGGTACCTGAATGATTTTACTAGGAAATGAACAGCGCAAGTTGCAACTCATGAGACTCAGGGTAGTCAATTTTGTAAAATTATCTAGCAATTCCAGATCAATAGTAGACATGTCATTGTGATCGAGACGAATGACTGCTAGATAATGGAGCTTTAGAAGGATGGGATCAAGAGGACCTGAAATGCCACAACGCGTCATGCTTAACACTCTCAACTTAAGTAGAGACGAAGACAAAGCCCAACACCACTCAGTTCCATTCATGTAAATATTTACGTCGTCAAGATAAAGTTCTTCAAGATTTGTTAGGTTTCCAACCAGTATTTTCAGATCCGGGCTCTCAAGCTTCAAAAAATAATTATAAGAGAGGTCAAGAAACACTAACTGTGTCAATCTTGACAACTCCATTGGAATTTGCCCGTCAAAACCAGCATATGAAAAATTCAGGTAGGTTAAGTTTTTGAGCTTATAAATTTCTATTGGTATTTGAACAGCGTCTAACTGATTATAAGCCAAATTCATCTTCTCAAGATACTTAAGATCGAATAGACTGCTTGAATTCTCAACACCACCAGAAATTGTTTCGTTGTCCAGTTCCAGAACAAGAACATGGCCTTTCTGATCACAACTTACGCCGGGCCACTGGCAACAGTCAGTGTTTTGATCCCATCTGTCTAGTTTGGTTGACAAAGAAGAATCAAATGTAAGTCCATTCTTGAGTTTAAGCAACAAGGCCTTTTGATCGCGCAAACAATGACCATATACGGGAGAAATATTAGAACTAATTAGAAACACCACCAGCACAGTGAAGGAAGAAAGCTATAGAATGAGTGATATTTTCATAGTGAAGCAATATTATGAAGGGCAGTAATGAAATTGAATAATGAATTGCATTTATACAAATGGAACCAGTGGGCAACAAATAATCTTGGCCGGCACTGGCAAAGACAAGGAATGAACAACTAAATTCAATGAGTTGCTCCAATTTTGATTTTTGAAAAGGTCAAGACAGCATAACCATTTTGTCTAATGAGGTCCTACTTCAGATGTTTTAAACAACAACAACAACTCAGTGTAATCCCACAAGTGAGGTCTGAGGAGGGTAGTGTGTATGCAGACCTTACCCCTACCTTGTGAAGGTAGATAGACTGTTTTTGAAAGACCCTCGGCTTAAGAAATAGTAAACAGGAAGCAACCAACAATAACAACAACAAGAAAAAACAAAGACACAGCTTGTAACTTCAGATGTTTTAAAATACAAACAAAGTTGATGTTTCTGTCTTTTTCTTTTAGGCATGGAATGGGTGAGGACGGCTGTTCTTTGTCTCTATTGTAGTCCTTAGTCTCCAACTAGACAAATTCCAATTTAGTTTAATTTCTCTGTATTTTTCTGTTGACTTGGGTTGTGCATATGCAAGTCAACCTAAAATGTCAATCACATAAGGTAAGATCTGAAAACTTCCCATAATTTACTTTGTTTGAATTTACACTACTTGAGCTTGTAATAGACAGTGACATTAAAATAGGCATAATCCACGTAGAGGGAATGTAAGGAACATCCCCTTCGCCATAAAAAAAACAAAGCAAAAACAAAGTGAACATAGTATTATATATGAACTCTTTCATACCACAGAAAGTCATACTGCTGCAACTTTCTTGGCCTTATGTACTTTACATTCTACAACAAACCTTAACTTACCTTGACCTCCTCTGGTTTTTATTCCTGCCATTCTTTTTGTGCTGACCCAAAATTCTGTAAAGAAGTCCGTCAACAACCTCATTGTATCTTGGGCATGCAAAAGCAACCAGGTTACGATGCCAAAACAAACAGAAGATCCCAAGGCAAAACTTATATACTTCCCATCAATTTCATGTTCAGAATGGCTGCTAGGTTGTGACAATCCATTCACTTTGATGTCACTGCATGTTTTCTTTAAAGGAAAATAGCACAACCCCGTATTCCCTTCAAAGGAATCTACTGAGAACGTCTGAAATTGATTGCCTCTTGGAATCCTACCAGAAAGTTGATTAAAAGATAGGTTCAAGAATGAAAGGAATGTGAGACCTACAAGCTCGTCCGGAATCCTCCCAATTAACTGGTTAACTGAAAGATCTAAGGATTCAAGCTGAGTTAACTTTCCAAGGGCCTTTGATATTCTTCCTGTTAAAGCATTGTGTGACAAGTTAAGAAGGTAAAGAAATTTGAGATCTCCCAATACCTCGGGTATCTCCCCTTGAAAGTTGTTGCAAGAGAAATCAATCGACGTAAAAATTGCAAGAATTTTTACAATCTCCATCTCACGACCTTTGAGAACTACAGTCACTCTGTCTAGATAGTACTTGCCATAGTTGAACACTTTAACTATCAAGTACTCTGGCTCTGGAAATTTGCTAGTCGGCATCATTTTTTCCAAGTTTGATAAGTATTGTGGTAGTAGATATCCGTTGAAATTATTGGAAGCAAGATCTATAATTTGGAGCCTTGGCCATGTTTGATTAGCTATAGGACATTTGAGATTTCCATAGAACATGTTCGACCTCAAGACTAGGACATGTAAATTAAATAATTTCTTCAACATGCATGGGAATGTATCTCTGATCTTATTATTTCCAATGTCAAAAACCTCAAGATATGCACATCTTTCCAAGGATCTTGGAACTTTTCCTTCTAACATATTGTTCCAAATTGCAATTCCGCGGAAATGTATCAGGAATAAGGCCACTTATTTTGTTTCTACCTAGATTCAACACCTTGAGATAGTGAATCTTTTGGAATAAACATGGAGGTATATTGTTGTTGATTGCGTTGTTTGACATATCAAGTAATCGAAGTTGGTATTTGTCCCCTAAGTTTATTATTGGAATGCAAGTCAATAACCCTCAGAGTGGTAGATATATTATAAGGTTTTTCTAGAGAATCCAGGAGATTGCATGAAAGGTTCAGATATTGTAAACCTCCATTTCCAACACTCCAAATCCAGCTTGGTATTTTCCCTTTAATATTATTGTCCGAAAGGTCTAATTCAGACATATGAGACTGGTTTTTTAGGTCTGGAAAATTCTGCAACTCGCATGAAACCAACTTCAGTACTTCCAACTGGGGAAAGGGAGATGAGGTTGAATTACTGCCATGTATATCAATTCTCAAGTTGTTGTAAGAAAGGTCAAGGGACACTAACTTTGTCAATCTTGACAATTCCATTGGAATCTGCCCAACAAAACCAGCATCTGATAAATTGAGGTACGTCAAGTTTGCGAGCTTATAAATATCTGTTGGTATTTGAACAGAGTTTAGATCATTATAAGCTAAATTCAGCTTCTCGAGATATTTCAGATCGAAGAGACTGCTTGAATTCTCAACACCACCAGAAATTGTTTCGTTGTCCAGTTCGAGAACAAGCACATGACCTTCCTGATCACAACTTACACCTGGCCACTGGCAACAGTCAGTGTTTTGATCCCACCTTACTAGTTTGGTTGATAAAGAGGAATCGAACGTAAGGCTATTCTTGAATCTAAGCAACAAGGCTTTTTGATCCCCCAAACATTGGCCATATCCTCCAGAAATATTAGAACTAATCAGAAATACCACCAGAGTGGTGATGAACGAAAACTGTAGCAGGAGTGATATTTTCATAGTGAGGCAATAATATAGTGTATTAATGAAATAAATGATGAGTTGCCTTTATATAAATGGAATCAGGGAGACACTCCTGACTCTCACTATGTGGGATTTCACCGGGTATGTTGTTGTTGTTGAATCAGGGAGACACAGATAATATTGGCCGGCACTTGCAAAGAAATATGAAGCAAAAGACAAGGAATAAGCTACAAAATTCATGAATGAGTTGCTCATATTTCAAAAAGTCAAGACATCACCACCATTTTTCTTACTTCAGATGTTCTAATTTAATTGTCCCAACAAAGTTGATGTTTCTGCCTTTTCTTCTAGGTATGGAGTGGGCAGGGGCGGAGGTAGAATACTCGCAGCGGGTTTGGCCGAACCCAGTAACTTTAATTCCAACTCTGTATTTGTCTTATAAAATTTATTAAATATATATAAATTATTAATTTAGAACCCAATAATTTTTAACGATTAGAATCCTGAACCCATAAGCTTGAAATACTAGTTCCGCCTGTAAAGTGGGTGAGGACCGTTGTTCTTTCTTTCTCTTCTTTAATCCTTGGTCTCTAACAAGACAAATTCCGATTGGGTTTACTCTCTGTAGTTTTCTGTTGACTTGAGTGTCAATCTAAAGGAATGCCGTGCATGACTGCATGTGGCACAGGATTCACACTTTAATAATGTACAAGTAAACAAAGCACTACTAACAAAATCATATAAAAAGAGAACACAATTCGAATCAACAATTGTTTTCGATGATTTTTGTTTTTGAAAGTATTCAAAATAGCCTCATTAAAAATAATATTAAATACTATTGTTCAATATAAAGTATCTAATAATCACTAAAAGCTCATATACTGTTCTTAATCAATTTTATTGGCTAAAAAGGAGATGGAAGGAAAAAGCAAAAAAATTACTCCCTCTGTTCCAGTTTATGTGAACCTATTTCCTTTTTGGTCCGTTCCAAAAAGAATGAACCCTTTCTAAAATTGGTAATAATTTAGCTTAAAATTACAACTTTACCCTTAATGAGAAGTTTTTATAATCACACAAATACTTTGGGCCCCATTTGGACTTGTTTAGGACCACAAATTTCAAAAGTCTTCATTTTTTACTTAAACTCCGTGTCCAGTCAAACAGTTCACATAAATTGGAACGTAGGGATCAGGAGTGAGCAGTACAACAACTAACAATGGAACAAGTACTTTATTGTCACAACAGTACGGAAAAGCAATTCGACCCCTGCTCAACGTAATGTACTTTTTGTGTATATGAGGCACAAAAATTTTAATTTAATAAATGAAGCTTTCTGTCTTACAACCCACACGACCTATACTAGAAAATAAGGCGACCTACCTAGCTACACAATTATTTGTCTCAAATGGTGTCACTTAAAGTTATTTAATCGTATTTTATTTCTGTTATATATATAATAAAAAATTTCGATCAAGCGGTGTCATGTAACACCGCTTGGCCTAAGGCAAATCTGCCCCACTGCATGAAACTTCTTTTTTTTTTTTGAGCTTCTTTGGTGAGGCTGAGTAATTGGAACTAATGGTTTTCTTGAATGACAATAATACCATAGCTAAGGGTGGTAATTTGATCCCAAACTTATTCAACCCGCACAGAGATTAATGGGTTGGGCTACAAATATTTTAGCTCATGGGTCTATTTAGGCTTAGCCCAAGTTAACCCTCATTAAGTAGCCCAAATACAACTCATGAAACTCAACCCAACTTATCTAGAAATTTACTTAGTTGCCCCAATTTTACTTTTACTTTTTTTTATGTGTTCAATTTTTTATTTTTTTTGTTTTTCCGCACCACCCACCTACCCTAGCCCCTAACCCTCCGCGCAAACCCCCTCAAAATTATTATTTTTTACCTTTTTTTGTATTTTTGTTTTTCTGCAACCCCCCCCCCCC